TTGAACTCGAACAGCAAAGTAAAAAGTAGAGTGACGAGAAGACTTTCAGCTGGCTTCGTTCGCTACTTGCATTCACGTTTTACTACGTGATCTTCACCGCTGCATATATGTTGCGACCATTCTCGGCCACTACCGAGGTAATTTTCGTGAAATTCTCCTCACTTGATATGCCAGTTGAAAAGTTCTTATAGGATAACCAGTTAACAACCTCGGGGAATAACTTTCTTCTTCTGTACGCAGTGGTACCTTTCGCTTGGGAGCCTTCAGATATTAATGCTATTTTGTAAAATTACTGGATCGGGTTAAAGGCCTCTGACGGTGCTGTAAACCAGATTGTGGCATCATAGGCACAGTTCATGTTTACAGTAGCCGTTTGGGAGAGCAGTGACTGAGTACTGTAGCATACGTTAGAACCCACTACAGACTTCCACAGAGTTCAAATTCCTGGAGCATCTCTAAAACGGATTGATTAACGTTCGTCGGTTCGTCCTTTCATAAATTCAGAATATACTTCGTTTGTTCCAGCAAATCACTAGTGGATTAATCCGCGCCGATGGCTCTGTTGTAAACAACAGCAATGGTCGTTTCGTATGGACAAAACAAGGTAAACAACGTTTCTGTATATCCTCACTGACCCTACTTTGCCCTAATCTTATTTCCTAATATCGAAATTTTTCAAATATTCAGATGCCGAAGATGCCAAATGTCATTTACTACAATACTGGCGATGGGGATGGGACGAAGGATGGGTAAATAGAAAGTTTTAGAGCGAAATTTGCCCCCAGTTGCTTTATGTAGTCATACAATTCTAGCTGCGGCTCGCCTGTGAAGTGACAGTCGTTGTGCTGGTGATCATCCAAGTTCTTCTTGATGTTCGTGATATCCGTCGACTCGGCAGAGCAAAATGGTTTTCTGTATTGGTAAGTAATTCTGGTATTCAAAAATTCGACCATCATACTCTATCCTTGAGGTACTTCAAACCAGAGATCGTGAGGTCAAGAAAGTCCTTGGGATGGACTCATTTTCGCGCTATCCCCTGTATTCCTTAACGGGACAGACCTGTTGCTGGACTCTCAGAATCTGTCATTCCTCCTCCCCTCCCCCTCTCCCCACCCCTCCCACTTTTACGAAAGCCGCTTAAGTTTACAAATACGAACTTCTTGGATCAGAGGAGTGCTTCGCATCCCTGTAGGTTGAGTCTGCGCTCTTACTTTACTGGAAAAGAATGCAAAACGGATTTAGTGCTGCCAATTTCGTAACGGAGGCGTCGAGAAGTAAGGAGCGCTGTCTGTGCCAAGTACATGGGAATAGGGAGGAAATGATCCTGTGTAGCTATTTTCACTGGGATGTCCCATACTTTCAGTCGCCAACAGTATAAGGAAGAGTCCCTTCATTGGCCTGATACAATTCTGTTATCATTTCTGTTATCAGTTACTGTATCATTTAGCAGCCCTTCTGGGCACAGTAGACAATACTTCTACATTTGCCCAAAAGGGTTAAAAATAATTTCAGAAGGCGTTCCCGGCAAAATTGCTCTACAAAGTTTCGTTTATTTTGGTTTTATGCGAAGTTCCTATTCGATTCTCTTGCCATCTGAATGATATTTTTCTGGCTGCTGATAACTTTATTGCTGCAATCGCTGTTGTTCTTACTTCGCTTCACTACCTCTACTATTGCAGGTAAAGTATGCATGTAATTTCTACTCAGGAATTCATAAGTAAGGGGTTAGGTAGCGTCTGCTGTTCATTTCCCTCCTACAGTCTCCCGTGTTACAGATGTATTCCATTTTCCTAACTCAGAACAATAGAAGCTTTTTTTTTAAGACTTAGCTTCTCATTAAAGTTTGAGGCTGCTCTCTTTTTCACTCATCTCAAGCTGACAGCTTCCCAGAAGCGATATCAGCGGTAGGGGTGTCATCTAAAACACTAGGAGCACTCCCCCTGCTGCAGTTCCAACCTTCAA